GTAATCTCAGCACTTTGGAAGGCCGAGGTGGGCGTATCACTTAAGGTCAGGAGTTTGAGATCAGCCTGCCCAGTATGGCAAAACCCTGTCTCTACTAAAAATACAAAAAGTAGCTGGGTGCGGTAGCACACACCTGTAATCCCAGCTAGTTGGGAGGCTGAGGCAGGAGAATCCCTTGAATCCGGGAGTTGGAGGTTGCAGTGAGCTGAGATTGCACCACTGCACTCCAGCCTGGGAAACAGTGAGATTCCATCTCAAAAGAAAAAAAAAATGTATTTTAATATCAAAGAGGAAGGAAGTGGGCCAGAAAGAAGAGATAGGGCTGAAAAGAGAAGGCAGGAAACAGAATGTTTCCGAAGAGTCCCACAAACAATTCAGAAGAGCTTTATCTTTAAAGGAGTTGACAGTGGGGTGTGGACCGTGCAGCTGAGAGAGCTTGCAGGGTGAGTTAAGAGTCCGCCTGGATTCCATCCTCAGCCCTGCCACACACTGTCCATGAAGCAAGTGACTGTCCCTTCCCAAGCCTCGGTTTCTGCACTGCAGGATGAGGACTGTGGTCCGAAGTGTGCCCACAGGTTGGCGTGAGAACCTGTTGAGCTCACAAAGCAAGGTGTGCCTGTTGTCTGTGGTAAGGGACAGACGGCATTGCCTACTTTCCACTCATAAGATGTCATTGCGTTTACCCGGTTCTCACTTGGCAGACAAATCAAAGGGCTATAAATAGCCACGTCTTGGTTTCTCATAAACGCAGTAAATACGACTTGGCATCTTGCCCAGGCTTCCTGTCGGGGCAGTGGATGAGGATTGTTTTGAGAGGTCTGATGAGTGTCAAGGTTATGGTCACGTGCAGGTGTGTGAGGCAGGACTGGCAGGGAGCCCCAGCTGCCCTGGGGAATGAGGGGTCTTCCCTTCCACCCCTACACCCTCCTTGGCATAGGCTCACACCAGCCATTCTGGGCCCTGGTGAGCCCCTCCTGGTGGCTCAGGCCGGGCCACTGGCCTCTTTGCCGGCTGTGTCTGGACTCACCCCTGTGGTCCTGTTTGCATTAGGTCACAGGTGAATTCTGGGAAGGCTGGGCCAGGCTGTGGGAAGAGGGGAGAGGAGGGAGAGGTGGACACATGGCTCGTGAGCTCGCTCTAAGGTGACATATGGGCTACTGGCAGCTTTGTCTACATTTCTGCAGCTTTAGAAAAAAAGGGAATATTTTCTCCTTTTCTTTCTCTGGCAGAGTAGAAGAGCCATATAGCAAGGCTAAGTACTGGAATTGCGTTTATAAGCAAGTTTTTTTTTTCCCCCAAGAAGTTAAAAAATTCCAATAAGAAAAGGAAGAGGGCAGAATGGGCTGGTTAAAAATGGAATCTGGGGCATGTTTTGTCTTATGTTGTACTCTGCGGTGCAGGCGAGGGTGGCAAGGCTGGGCCTGACCATGCCTCCTGCTTGGTGAGGAAAGTATCTCATTGTACAGCTGGCCACATGCAAAGCGGCTGCTACTCCCTGCCCCAACCGGAGGGGCGACCCACCCTTACCTGTAAGGAAGCCCACCTTGTCAGAATCACTTTTTTTTTCAAGACAGAGTCTTGCTCTGTCACCCAGGCTGGAGTGCAGTGACATGATCTCTCTCTGCTTTCTGGGTTCAAGCGATTCTCCTGCCTCAGCCTCTCAAGTAGCTGGAATTACAGGTGCCTGCCACCACGCCGAGCTAATTTTTTGTATTTTTCTAGAGACAGGGTCTCACCATATTGGCCAGGCTGGTCTTGAACTCCTGACCTCGTGATTCACCTGGCTTGGCCCCACAAAGTGCTGGGATTACAGGTGTGAGCCACCACACCTGGCATTCCTTTTTTTTTTTTTTTTGAGATGAAGTCTGTCTTTATCGGCCAGGCTGGAGTACAGTAACGTAATCGCGGCTTACTGCAACCTCTGCCTCCCAGGTTTGAGTGATTCTCCTGCCTCAGCCTCCCAAGTGCTGGAGTTACAGGTGCCTGCCACAATGCCTAGCTAATGTTCGTATTTTGAGTAGAGATGGGGTTTCACCATGTTGGCCAGGCTGGTCTCAAACTCCTGACCTCAGGAGAATCACGATTTTAAGTGGATATCAGGTCATGTCTCTCCACTGCTCAAAACCCTCCCATGGCTCCCATTTCATCTCAAAGCCCACAGCTGTTACCCTGGCCTGCAGGGTCCCACACAATCTGGCTCTGGTGACCTCCTTGATGTCCCACCACAGTTGCCTTCCTGTCCTAATCAGCTCCATCCACCAAGCAGACACCCACCCCTAGAGCCCTGATATATGCTGCCTGTGCCAGCAGCTCCTTGGGGTGGGCTGAATATCGCTTCCCAAAGATATCACTCTAATCCCCAGCACCTGTGAATGTTACCCATGGGGACCTCCAAGAGGTTGTGTAGAGTGTGCCTTAGAGGGGTGAGGAAGCTGGGTGCTCCCATTCCTGTCCCTCAAGGTTAAGGACTGCTCCTGAGGCATCAACTGCCCAGCTTCCAGCCTTCGCCATGAGTGGCCCAGCAGCCTTCTGGTATGACTTTAGGAGGCCCCTGGCACCCACTGGAACCATGTCCATGACTGCTAAAGCTGCAGGAGACTTCCAGGACCTTCCAGGGATATGGGTGCATGTATTTGTTGCCTGTGGCTGCAAAACAGATTGCCAGAAATTAAATGACTTAAAACAACATGTGTCTGTGATCTCACAGTTCCTGTGGATCAGGAGTCCAGGCACACCTTAGCTGAGCCCTACTCTGCGGTCTCAGAAGGCTGCCATCAGACACGGCGTGGCTGCACTTTCATCTGGAGGCTCGACTGGGGACGAATCTGCTTGAATTCATCTGGATTATTGGCAGAGTTCATTTTTCCTCTGGCTGTGTGACTGAGGGCCCTGGCCTTTTGCTGGCTGTCTACTGTGGGCCTGCCTCAGGTCCTAGAGGCCACTTCCATCTCCCGGAGGCTGCCCACAGCTCCCTACTATATGGTGGGCTTCCTCAGCGTGGCTGCTTACTTCATCAAGCCAGCAAGCCTCCCTCCCTCTGGTCTGCTAAGACAGAGTCTTAGATAACATAAGCCAAGCTAGGGAGGGGCAGCTCAACACCTCTACTGTGTGCTATTTGTTAGATGCCAGGTCACAGGTCTGGTCCCCACTGGAAGGGAGGGGATCCTACAAGGCATGGATACCAGGAAGTAGGAAGTCACTGGGGTCACCTTAAGGGCTGCTCTGACAGCCTCGGAGCACTGGGGCACTGACAGCCTCTGCTGTGGGTTGTGAGACTTCAGGGCTGTGTAGAACAAACCCCCTAGGCATGGGACCGTGCTTGGCTCTCTCTGTTCCACCTACAGCTACCACATGATGGGGGCTTCTATGGGTGCGGGCATGGAGGGGGGCTCCCTGGGAGCTGGGGTGGGCACTACAGGTCTCCTTTCACCTTCTGACCGCTGCCCCTTCCCATGCTCACTGTGTGACCTCAGGCAAGTTGCTTAAAGCTTGAGTCTCTTTTTTTTTTTTTTTTTTTTTTTTT